ACGCTGTTCCGGCGGTTCCACCTTTTCGGCCACGAAATTACCGTTTCGCAAAAATGATAAAACGTCGAGAAAACGAGGTGTATCTCTGCCTTGCGTAGCGGACTCAGTTAACAGAGTTCTTTCCGCGGGCAATCTATTCTCTTAAGTTTTAAGTAAGCCGTACGATATCGCCGATTCCGCGTTTTCATAAAGGCCGTAATGCGTCTTCATTTCGCTGGCTGGTCCTCTCCGTTGGAGCAGTTCCGAGTTATAGCCCGGTGCACGCCGCAACTTCGGCAGTTATAAACTTGTAAATTACAATAACCGTGCAGTTACGACTTGTGCAAAGAAGTCGCAACTTCTTAATTGTCTATAATGGTTATTTCACGGGAAATAAAAACGGAAGAGGAAAATTACGTTTATATTTGTACGAATTAATCGTATCTTTGTGTTAGGTATCGATTGCGTCTGGACACCTAACGAACTGCCCGCTGGAGTTTATTTAACGTGACATACAGACGAAGTTTTGTTAATTATTTCATTGGTACGAGTGATTTGCTTATCGATATCGACAGGACTTCCCCGTTTATAATATAACGTGTGATATTGATGTAATTTCGGTAATGTAATTTCAGCAGCGAATGCAGTCTCGTTATTCTAATTATATCGAGAGTTCGTCATTAACGTCATTCTTCGTTATTCTTCGTTAAAGCCGTTTCTTTTTCCCCGTTCTTCGTTGATACTCTTCAAACTGAATAAACTTACCTCTCGAACCACCACGCACACTTATTCTTCTCCCTCGAGCAGCTTTCCTCCGCGAACTTCTCTTATCTCGAGGTAAACGTGAAAAGAGAGAGCGGGAAAATAAGAACACCTTAGCGAACGTTGATCAATCCCATTAACAGTATTAATTAAAGCCAGTTGAATTCGCAGAACTCTCGTACGATCGACGCAAAGGAAAATAGCAGACTCCCTCCAACCTCGACAGAGAATTTTGCCTTGGTTGGCGTTGAACGAAGTTAGTTGAACATTTTCCGTAAGCTTAGCTTAAGATTTCTACTAGGTGTATACTAAAACGCGGCGATAAACATTGTTCGCGGGAAATTCAGGTATTTATGGGAGAATTTTTGGCAGCAAGGCCGATATCGTTTCACGTGCAGGTCGAAGAACAGGAAACATTCTTCATTCGTTGCACGGGTATATGCGTTTGCACAGGCTCTGGATCACGATCGTGGTACAAATCTATGAACAGTCAATCCGGCGAAACTGTTCGAAGCATCGTCGAGATAGCCACAGGGAAGAAATTAAGCCCGGAGGAAACCAACGAATTACTCTACAAATACCATCGAGCTCTTCTCTACCCGCCAGGTAACTAGATCGCGGACCGTTATTAACTATAATCGAAAAGGCAGAAGGTAGGGTAAAAATCCCGCCGACTGGATCAATCGAGAATTCTGCGAGGTAATTGGAACGACGGCTAAAACGAACGAATCGAAATTGAAGAATGAAGAAGTTTAAGCTTCTTCTTCTTCTTTCTTTATTTGTTTTTGTCGGTTCGAGAATAAGTGATCGAGTCTAATGGAAGTGTCTTTTTGTACTTTTTGGATGCTTGGTAGAAGGGTTGCAAATGACGTACGCGATCCGAGAGATGTACCATACAACGCGTTGCACCAAGTACAAGTGTTGCCCTGACAGACAAAGGTGCTTCAAGCTTACTGTGAAATCCCGCGGATTCGACGCTGGTTTGGTAATAGACGGAAGCATTTCTTTACCCTTTAACGACGGCACTACTGCCTCCTTTGAAATCAAGCCGGAGTATTCTTTGAGAAATATCGTTCTGTCTTAATTATGTAAATGCGGTGTAATTGGAATTGCATCGTGAAATAAAGTTCTCAACAAAAGTGTCAAAGTTTTCAAATTTAGTCACTTTTGTAAAAATATAGATATTTGAATTTATAGGTATGAAAATTCACCTTAAAAGTAAAAAAAAAGAATTGAAAAAGTTTGATATATCTATTCTCTGCCATTCTTCCAAATCTTTCCTCTACCTTTTTTATGCAACACTTTCTTTTCACATATACCACAATTTTGCAACATTCACGCACCATTAGACCGTTAATCGAAGCAGAATTTTTTTCTAAGAAGGAAAGGAAGGAAAAGAGCTTTTTCTTCTGCGATCTTCCGATTCCGGGGTTAATGCACCTCGATTCCTTATTTATCTGCAAAGGCGGAGACACGGGGCACGGTAAGAAATAATTGTTCGCATTTGTTGCGAAAATGAAGGTAGTTTGGCTGTGAGAGATAGGGAGGGCCGGTTATTCCGCTGGTAAAGGGCAACCTGCTTTCTTTCTAAGAACAACGCAGGAGGGTGAAATACCTTTCCAGCTCCGTTTTCCGTTTCCTTGCAAGGAAAGCAGCCACGTCCAGACTTCCATTAACCCCGTAATTTCGGTTTCGGTCGAACCGCAGACACCCCGCGACCTTCGAGATCAGGTGTTCATACTAGCTCCTTGTGTACGAATAAACATGCCCAGGTACTCACACAGTCCAGAGCATGGTTTACTAGCTACATTGGTCAGATCCATGTTCTACGGTTAAGGTTCCTAGGCTAGAATAATGGTGCCCTACTGTGATTAGTTCTCCTTGTAACTCCCATTTCTCTTGGGTAAATTTTTAATTAATCCCTTGTCTTGCAATAACTGGTCAGACTCTCTTGACACAGATTTTGGTCAAGATGCGACAAACACAATTATGTTAGAACAAAGATCCTAGCATAAGAGGTTTCGCAATTAACGAATAACTCCTCCATTTTGATACATTTGTACCTTTTAAAAATTTGAGAAGGAAGCTGAAAGTGAAATTTGTATCTTCTGAAAAAATTGGAACTTTTCATTCAGTGGTCATCTATGAAAAAATTCCCAAACTTTTGCTTTTTTTTTTTTTGAGACGCCTCAGGGTGGTGCACCCCTTAATTCTAAATTTCGTTTTAATTTATAACTTTAAGGTTCGCAAAATGTAATTAATTTTTCTTACCTAATGCGGTACCAAAAGTGTAAATAACCGACGCCTGCTTGCTCAGGCAGCGAAAATAATCATAAATGAAGAGAATGAAGATAGTCTGAAAAATTAAAATTCCAAGAAAAGGTAGGAAAACGTAAAAGATACAAATAAATAGTAGAAAATGTATAACAAGAATACGTAAAAAGTATAAGTGCAAAGTGTACACCTTTCAAAAGTTCATTTCTTAAGCCACCAGCTATTTAAATAGAAAATTCTTGTTCTTCTTCTAATTACATTTTGTTCGCGTTAAATCTTCCCTCTGTTTGCCTGAAAGATTGCTTCGCTTCACCAAGGATATTAAATTAGGGATAATTAGGAAGAACAAAGACAATGTTTGTCAACTGAAGATACACCGTGTGTGCGTATGTGTGTATACGCGCACGCGTGTCTTCTTCAGGTAAGTGCACTGTTTTCGTACTCCTTCCGGAGGGCAAATTGTGGGTGCTTGAGACACAGGATACTAAGTAAAGTACTCACTGCCGACATTTTCGGGGCAAGCACGTGAAGCAGCCGTTGTAAAAGAGTTGAAAGGGTGTAAAAGTCGGGCTTTACGCGTAGGAGCAGAATGTGTCAGAAAGTTTAGTATTATTGAAACTGAACCACGACAAATTACTACCATTCAACTGACCGATACGCTCTTTGTCAGGTGAAAAATACTTCATCTCAGCCAATGTAAATTACGAAAATACAAATTTAACCCTTTGACAGTGTAATAAAATTACGAATTACGGTAAAAGGAATTTAAATTTTACACGTATCTCTTTAATAGTTGTGTCGTGTGTGATCATTTTTAAAACACATAACACTACGTCATAGTTATGATAATGATATCTCGTCCCTTTCTAACGTTCCTCCTAAGAGTCTCTCGAGTTAGACAGTTCGATATTTCACGCTCTGCCCGAGTCTCACCCTGGATGAACTGTCGAAGGGTTAAGTCATAATCTCGAAGATTTAAGAAAAGAAAATAATCTCTTAGAATTTCTCTTGGTAAAAAAAGGGGAAAGGTGAATGGTGTACAGGGGGTGTTGAACTTTGCGAGAACTGATTAGGGTAAATTAGAAAAATTTAAGGATAGGATCGTTAACTTATTAAAATAGGTTCCCAATCGGAGGCCTGAGAGAACCAAGAACCAGTCTCATTAATCCTTACGGAAGACCCAATCCGTAAGAACAATGGAGATCCGCCCCAGACGAACTCATCGAGGACAAACAAACGTACGGCCGACCAAGAACAACGGACGACATCGACCAACCCTTTGTACTTCGTAATTGAACGCGGCTGTCTTCCCGGCAGAAGTTTCAGACGCTTCCAACCCTATAAAGGTTTGGCTAAAAGGAAACAGACCAGCGAATTCTCGAATAGAGAAATTTTGTACTTTTCGGGATGACTTGAAGAACGTCTCACTTGATAGAACTCCTCTCCTTTCGAATTTCACGAAATTTCACAAACTACTCTCTGGTAGTTTCTGTGAAATCTCGAATATCTCGAAATAGGGAAAATTCTGTAAATTACGAAGAAAATTGTTGGAACATGTGTCAAGGCAACTGGGGGAGTAAACAAGAGATGGGAAGAAAGCGGAAACTTTGCTAGGATTTGAATGTATATTTAATTGGAACACTGAGTAATGTAATATCGAAAGTTTGTTGAAGAGAGGATGAAAATGGTATTAAAGTGCACTCGTTGATCGCCCCACTCCTACATTCCTGCACCGCATTAATGAAGCAGTATCGTATCTCGAGCATTTCCACAACTTTCTGGAAACTCTAATAACTGAAACGGAATTTAATAAAGCACTGTGCGAACGGGCGTAATTGACATTTCGCATTCTATTTACGTACGTCGCCAGAACATTCGACCTGAATGAACTGTGCCCTCGGTTACTGGAAATTCTACAGCGACCCCATACTCGCATCTGAAACCCTTCCATTTTACCACCAATCACCTCTTTTCAGACCGGTATCCATCAAGTCGAGTTAACGTGTGTGTACGTAAAAGTGGTAAATTTTAACGCAACATTCAGTTCCCTGATGTGTGAAATATACAGGGTATTTTAGTTTCACTATTGGTGGACCGATCGACATTTCTTCTGTCAGAAATGTTTCCAGTAAATTATGGAAATTTTCACGTAAAATAGAAGGTTTCCATAAGGTTTTCGTTTCAAACATTTTCTGTCTTTATTTCAATAAATTTTCTAGGTCACTTTCAACTTTTTGGGTACTATTATTGTATACGCTAGGTAATCCCATAAGTTCGAACCGAAAGCGAAAAATATTTTAATGAAAATCCAAGAAAATTCTATAGTGATGACAATGATCTTACCATAAAAAAAAATGAAGAATAGGAAAAAATTGTGGAATTAGAAGACGTTTACGTTTTTCTTTTTATCAAATATAAGGGTTCGTAGGAACTACTGATCTACATTATAAAATTCGACACGAACTTATGGGGTGACCTAAAATATAGTCTTTTTTGCCTACTAGATAGCAGGCATTGAGACAAATTCACCGAGCTTAATAAAAACACTTTCCTTATCTACTGAAATAAGTGAAAATACTGAAACTTAATGCAAGTATCGATTAAATTTGAATCCGTTTTCTTAAATAATCTCACACCACAGGTACCTGTATTGCTTCTCAACAACTGAAAAGGCCCAGTACACCGACACATTCGATCTCGTTACGACTTGATTCCAATTTCTGTCCTCGGTTAACTCCCCGCCGAAACGATACCTTCGAAAGTAGTTAATGGATGTTCGAAACCACATAAATTCTTCAATGATAACCGCGGTGGCCGTTCGCCCCTTATCCGAAGATTTACTTCCTTCCCTGGCCGGACCGGTAATGGTGGTTCGCGAAATTTATTTGCGGATTCGTGGTGAAACGTTAATTCGAAAAGGTCGGGGAAAGGGAAGGCTGGGAGGATCATTGAACGAGAGGCGGACGAAATAAAACGAACGCATCGAAACGAGCAAGTGAAATGAAAATGACAAAGAAAGAGGAGAGAAGAGAAGAGAAGAGAAAAGGAGAGGAGAGGAGAGGAGAGAAGAGAAGAGAAGAGGAGAGAAGAGAAGAGAAGAGGAGAGGAGAGGAGAGGAGAGGAGAGAAGGGAAGAGAAGAGAAGAGGAGAGAAGAGAAGAGGAGAAGAGAGAGAAGAGAAGAGAAGAGAAGAGAAGAGAAGCGAAGCGAAGAGGAAAAGGGAAGGCTGGGAGGATCATTGAACGAGAGGCGGACGAAATAAAACGAACGCATCGAAACGAGCAAGTGAAATGAAAATGACAAAGAAAGAGGAGAGAAGAGAAGAGAAGAGAAGAGGAGAGGAGAAAAGAGGAGAGGAGTGAAGAGGAGAAAAGGGAAGAAAAGAGAAGAGAAGAGAAGAGAAGAGGAGGGAAGAGAAGAGAAGAGAAGCGAAGAGGAAAAGGGATACTGTCAGAAACAAAGAATCGCGAGGAGAGAAGGAGGAGAAAAAGAGCGGTAAAAACGGAAAGAACCGACGGGGATTTCGCTAATGTCATTTTTTCAGGGCAATGGAAATTCTTTCCTCTTTAACGTTTTAATCCACCTGCGTGCCTGTGTAATTTGATTCACTCTGGTTCCGCTTCTTCCTGTGAAGACCGGCATTGGCTTTGCACGAAAATTTGCTGGTTACGGTAACCCGGGGGATAAAGCGAAATTGGAGCCGTCGCTGTTGGCAAGAAACAAAAGCTAAACGAATCCCGATACTTTCGCCGCGCGTAATGTTCTTTTGGTAACGTGCGATCTCTGATAACCAGAGGAAAACCTTTTAATT